CCAGGGCCCTGGTCCTTCCCTGTCTGCCTGGCCAGAGCCTTTATTGTTTTCCCACACACGTAACTTTGCTGCCAAGAATTGACTTTTCCATGTCAGCTCAGAGAATTCAGGGGTCACGGCTTCCTTTCATCTCTGGTATTTTGATAATTGGGAATGAAGCCACTTGAGGATATTTTAGAAATCTCCACGTCTTCACAAATTACCTGCACACCCACCATCAAGGCCTGGCCCTCAGATTTCCTCATCAAGAAGTAGATGGGCTAGGGGGGTGGTGTTGAAGAAGCAGGAAACAGATCCTTAAGCACAGTGTTCTCCTAGTTAGGCCAGAGCTCAGAGTCCAGACATCTCATGCCGCAGTGACTCAGATGTGCTAAAATGACAGACCCTGACCGATGCAGGAGCCACATAAAACCAGGATGTGGACTAGACGGAATCGGGAATGGAGATGGAATGGAGCAGGGCCCCTTAGACGCCAGAGTGAACTGGCATTCTACAATACTGTCGCAGAAAGAATTGTGTGCCCCAGGGGGTCCCATGTAAGAGCAGGCATTTGGAGTTCTGGGTGACTTAGTTGGGATGATGGTGTTCGCTATCTAATGTATGTGGGGGACACCTGCTGATGGATGGAGCGTTAGTCCGGTAGTGGCAGGAAACGGACAGAGCTGGCAGCACCGACTTCTCCTTGTAGGGATGATGACGTTTCCGAATTGCTGCTGCTGGGGACTGGCTCAACCCTGTCTTCAAGCACAGCCGTGGGAAGAAATGGTGACCTCATGTACCCGAGACTCTTCAAAGCCTCGGGTGCAGGTCTCACTGTTCTCAGTCTGGCTCTTTAGAAACTTTGAGCGGCTACCCAAACAAGACACAGCCTGAGATTGTTGCCAAGAAAGTGAACTCGTGTCTTTTTGGCATGTTGGGCTTTTGGGTCTCCAGTGAGATGGGAACACATCCCCCAGTGCAGCCTCCTCTAGGGGAGGATTTCACTTTTCATCTTTGGCCTGCAGAGGAAGAGACGGGGGTGGGGGTGGGGGGTGGGATCCTGTGGTGGCTACCCTAGGGCGTGAGACAGCTGAGTTTTAAGGTGGGTGCCTTAAGAATAAACATCCATCTGTTGACCACAAACACAGCCTCTTCTTTTGATGAACGCACAGAATCCAGCAGCCTTTATTCTGGCTGTAAAGGCGCGTTCTGAATTGCAAGCATGTGGATGAGGTTGCCCAAGGTCCCCTGAAGGATCAAAGAGGCTTTGACCAATCCCTTCAAGGGATTGCTTCAAGGCCTTTCAGCCCCGGGGAGCTGAGAACTGATGAGGGTCTAGAGAGGAGCTTGGATGCAGTGGGAAACTGACGTGATGTGTGCAGGCTGGGCAGAAAGAGCAGTTCCCAAAGTCCACGTCAGAACAGACTGGAAGCGGTGCCTGCAAGTGAGGAGAGCTGGCTGGTGATGCCTGCACTTGGCCCCTTCCTCCCCATGGGGCCCCTTCCGGGTTGAGCCTTTTGATGTGGGAGAGCTGCTGCGCTCTCCCAAGGTGTAGGTGATGGCCACTGGCGTGCAAGGCTTCGCTTTTCTCTCCTCTTGGTGTCTGATGGGGCCCGTTGCTTGAGGTGTTTTGTGTTTTTTTTTTTTTTTTTTTTTTTTGGTTTTTCGAGACAGGGTTTCTCTGTGTAGCTTTGCGCCTTTCCTGGGACTCACTTGGTAGCCCAGGCTGGCCTC